CGTTTTCAAGACTATGGATATTTTCGTGTTCGTATTTATGGAAAATTTAAATATAGAAAATAACGGAACGGAAAATAACATGGGAGAAATATCGTGAATTATGTTGCTTTCTCTCTTTATAAAAGAATAAAAAGTATAGTTGCCAAATATCGGAGCAAATATCTTTCTGGGAGGATTATCGCTGTTTCGATGTATTTTCCACTCGACCACGGGGGAGCATCGTCGATCGGTTTTATCGACAGATAACCTTTATCAACGAATCGCGTTGACTCATGAACCCTTTGAAAATCGAAGAACTCGTATTGAATTTTGCCATCCATTCTTCCATGTATCTCGTTTCCAAAACGCTTCGATCGATTGCCATTCCTTTCGATCGTTCGAATCCTCTTTGTTGTAAACTCTTTTTTCACCGTTCAAGGGATCGATCATCGGTCAAAGCGATTCTTTATTTATCGCTCAAAATTGGTATTTTAAACGACTTTTTTTTTTTATTTATCGAATATTGGTAAAAATTTGTAAATACTTGACAGATATTTCATTGTTCTCCTCCATTTTGTAGAATAAGATAATAGAAGCCTATATTTTTCTATCTGCAAGTTTCATTAATCCTTTCGTTGCAATTGAATCGATAACCCTTTCCTCTCAAATTATCAAACTATCAATCTAAAAAAAACTTCCTCCCTAAAAAAAAAACAAACGTAAACACCATCCCAATTATATATTTATAAATTCGAATCAATAATTTTACCAAAAATTACATTACACAAGATTTTTTTCCAAAACTCAAACTATTTATAAAAATTATATCAAAGAATAAAGGAAAGGAAGCGAGTAATAACAGTTTCCACTGCCAGTAAAGAGAGAATAAAAAGAGAGAAACCAGGTGTCCCATCAGCTGCCCGTTATCAAGATCGAAAACAGACAGTGACTTAGCGCACTCCCCTCAGCCATCGCCGTTCCACGCCATCTGGCGTTTCGCGACTCGCAACAAGCCAATTCGTTGTTGCTGAACTGCGATAATAATCGTGCAGGTGGAAGCGTGCTGCGTGCGAAGCTTAAAAAAAGAAACATGGCGGCCGTGAGAGAAGAAGATAGGAGAGAGAGTGGGGGGTGGTGGTGGATCGCAGCAAGAAACGGGACGCGCGTATTGTCGGCGATAATTGAGAGACCGATTTCTAGGGGGGAGGTCATAAACGAAAGTCTGGCCGGCTCGTAAACCGGCGAGGGAAATTCATGCGAAACATGCGAGGACAGTTACGATGGATAGCCGTGCGGCTGGCTGAGAAACGGTTTTGTTTGTCCCCGCCGTTGGTCGCGCGGTTGTTCGTGGTTAATGGCCGATGGTGAGCAGCCCGGCCCGGCCATTGGCTTTCGCGAGTTGTGCTCTTGTTTGTGGGGGGAGGGAAGGAAAAAAAAAAAAAAAAAAAAAGAATTGACTCGTTTGAGGTTTAAACCGTGGATGGAAACGGTGCGGTGAAGGTTTTTGGTGATTGAAAATTGGAATTTATGGAGTTGAAAGGTGCGGGAGGATAGGGGTGAATAAAATTAGAATCGTGTTTTTCGATAGTTTTTGAGGGGGGAGGAAAATTTGATTCGAATTTTTTCCGGTTTAATTTTGTGGATTTTGGAATTTTGAAATGTTTTTCCTTTTTTCTTTTTAATTTTTCTTTGGTGGACAAGGAAATATTTTTTTTTATTATATTTTATTAAATATTTTTAAAATATACTCGTAATTGAAAAAAGAAAGCAAGACAACAACGATGTGAAATTCTTCCTCCTTTTAGATTTACATTTCGATGTAAATGTAAATTGTTGTTAATTTAAAGATATTTTAAATAATTATTGTAATAATAATAATAATAATTTACGAATATCACTGAATCGTTGTCATGTTTTCAAAATGCAGAATAATAATTTTCCTCTCTACTTCAAAATCTAATTCGTGAAATATACCTTAGGTGTTAAATAAATTAGCGTAGAAATTAAGAGATTACTAACGATGCATCAATGATTAATGAGAATCGGAAACTTCATTAGGACCTTACACTTTGCTGGACTAGCATTCTGCAGATTCGTTTGTGACTATCTAAGTAGCTTAATTACTTCCTACCAACCTAATAGACCGTGTGAACGCGCGATTAAGCAATCATTAATCATAGAATATAGTTTTCTCAGGATTGGGGAAAATATATATATATATATTTCAAATAAAATTTAAAATTTGAAATATTATTTTTAAAAATTTTAATTTTTTGCAAAATCAATTATGGAATGGATGCACTCTTTCCTTCCATACATGAATCAATTTGTAGAAGAAGAAAATAATGGAAAATTCGTGGAAATGACGAAAGATAATTTAACAATACGAAATAAATATATTTTTATTATTTCGCAAAACCTAAACAAGCTAATGTTTATCGTGCAAAATATGGTCGAGAAGATCGATCGTCACGAACAAAAACGAAACATCAATCGTGTCGAGTGACTCAGAATCGGTGACTCATGCATAATTTATTTCAATTTAATTAGAGATTGGATCTCGCGTGGTAAGAAAAAGCAATATTTTCCATAAATTCATGCGAGGCGGCTGTTGTGTGCTTATGCAAATTAAACCTAAAATTGTAAATGTTGTTGCGTGTTATATCCCGCCTATAGAACGTAATATCCTACTTTATTTATGAATTTCGATATTGATTATATTTTCGGTTTAAAATCACATGCACACTTTACACTTTTAAGGATAAATCTCGAATAAAGAGTAGAACATTTTGGATGTCGTTCGAATGGAATTCTCATATATACGTTTTAAATTTAAATGTATGAGAAAGTAACAAAATATTACAAAAATATCGTGTTCTCTCGTTGAATTTCTATTGACGGATCATCGATTGTGTATAGAGAGTGAAATTAATAAATTCAAGCGATTTTACAACTATCGAGTGAAAAAACGAATTGTTTTTGTGAAAATAATTTTTGATTCGTGACGAAACCTCGAACGTTTCATTTCACGCGTGCAAAATGTTTTGCACGAAATCATTGCGTGATTTTCGCGGGAAATTTACTGGAACAAGTGAAAGATATTAATAACACATATTGACAGGCTGAGAAATCAATATATAAGTCACATTTCAAGTTCATTTCTTAATTATGCAATCACTTTGTTGTAGAAATAAATCGTATTTAAAATTGGTCAAACTTTAGGGGTTGATTTGTGTAATCTATGTGTAATCTATTATGTTCTATATACTCATTAAAATCAGAATTTCTCCAGTAAAATAGTTTAAATTAATTCTCATTTAAACTATTTTACAATTTTCTTCTCTGACCTTATCATTATATTTACAATTTACAAATAATTTCATTTTCTATCCATTCTTCGTCTCAGCCTCAACACACACAAGTTTCAAATCCATTCCCTATATAGGATAGATTCAAAAGAAAAAACAAATTTAACGTGAGATCCTTCCTCTTTAATCGTCCACAATCGAAAAGGGAACGCGAGCAATAAAAATCATGGTTCCAAGCGTTCTCAATACTGTCTCCATCTCGATCTCACCCGGTATAATATAAATTATTACCGTCACGCTCATTCACTTGGAGCTTATCCATCCACTTTTACGCGTTTTTTAGGACAAATAATGCCTCTCCCCCACATTCGTTTTGACGAGAATTAATATTCCCTGCGAATAAGGATTTACCCGTAAATCATGATGGATGCGAATTTACGAGGCGAGGTAGATGGCGCGGCGAAACGCGAGGGAGATCCTCGCAACTTTTGCCCCTCCCCTCCCCTCCTCTCCCTCCAAACGAATCGTTTCCTAGACATTCAATACGCTCGGTTTACCGGGACGAAAGCGTACAGAGCCGCGATGAATCATTGCGGTTCTTATTAAATTTCACTGCCGAGAGCTGGTGGACGACGACGACGACGACGACGACGACGACGAGCCGGTGAATTCGCTTTCGAACGACAGTTCCTCGTTTGTTTTCGAGTCGGTTTTCAAAGGAATCCGATCCACGATACACGAGAAACTCTCTATCTTTCTCTCTCTCTCTCTCTTTCTCTTTCTCTATCTCTCTTTCTCTATCGTTATATATATATATATATCTATATATATATAGCGTGTTGTCTCGGTCGAATCGGGGAAACACACTTTGCCCAACCGTTTAAATATTTGCCTCGGATCCCCGCGGCTTTGCCGTGGGGGAGTTCTGCCAGCGATTTGTAATCGATTATCGGGACCATCGATTAGAAATCTTCTCGCATCGAGTTTCATTCGCCGTCGATTGAAGATGGCGCTGATTGTTGTACCCTTCCCTCCACGTGTTATACGTGTGTAATATCTTATGCAACGTTTTATTTATCGTTTTAAGGTTTCTGGCTAGGATATCTGTCGTGGTTATTTCGATAAATAAAATTGTTGTCACGTGTAATATTTATATCCAATATTTCGTTTGGTACGAAAGATTAAAAAAAAAGAGAAAAAAAATAGATTGTTGGTTAGGATAGTCAAGTTTTTGGCTAGGATTCACGATATCTGTCTGATTATTTCGATAAATAAAATTGTTGTCACGTGTAATATTTATATCCAATATTTCGTTTGGTAAAAAGATTACAAAAAAAAATAGATTGTTGGTTAGTCAAGTAAGGGTATTTATTCTATTCTTGGCAATGGATTCATTGGTTGCATTTCTGTGCAATACATTTCCTTGGTAAATGGATCACGCGATGGGTGAAACGAGGATCCCTTGGAATGACGTTTCGTTTATTTATTATCGATCAAGTTGACAATTAACAGAATCGAATTGGAATTTTCAAAGAATAATTATATAGTTAAACTCTGTTTCATTCCAAGTTTAATAAAAGAGAAATATCAATTCGATTACGATTACGATTATTACCTTCCGAAGGTAACTTTAAAAAAGTTGGTAAATTTGAAAATTTACTGATCCCCCTTGGGAGTCGATAATAAAGATATCGATTCGATCTCTGATTGCAGTTTTGACGAGACGTCGATGGATAGCTGTCCCTTGGCGGCGATCACCGAGACGAGGGGGAACGATTTGTCAAAGGATGGGAACGAAGTGGAGGTGACATCGTTAGAGGAAGCGAAATCGGTGATAGCGGCACTTCGGGCGAGGCAAAGGGCACAGGCGCATCAAATGCTCGCCTGGCGAAGGACATTAAAGTTGCAGGTAAGAAACTGGTATAAAATACGAATGGGATAAAATAACAGGTCAAAGTGAACTTCGTCCCGCGCACCAAGATTCTACACGGGAAGATAGAATTTACTTATACAAAAGTTCGCAAGATTTCTTAAAATGCGTTTGTAACAATTGCCAAGATTGAATTCTTTATTTCTCTCCAATTTTTTCGTATTATTACTTCAACAAATACGACACAATTGACTCGTACAAATGATTATATTTACAGAAACGTTATTTTCCAACATTTCAGATTTCCAATTGATTAATTCATTTATTTCGAGGATAAAAAATACACTTATTTTTTATTGCAAAAATAAAAACATTCGTGCAGGTAGACGAAGAACCAATTACGAATTCGTGTAATACGAGCTAACCTAACCTAACCTAACCTAACCAATGAGCCAACAATTCAGGGTAACCAGACTCGACTAAAATTTCGCATAAAATGGAGTTACGCGATATGAGGGGGAGGAGGAAAGAGGATGTATCGGCTATTTACGTTTCAATGCCTCGTTGATTAAGGCTATTATCCGGTAAAACTTTGAAAAAGGAATCTATCCCCGTTTCCGGGATAGGCCGGACGTTCACGTGACGTTCGACTATTTCGCCCCGAACGTTGCGTGACCACGGACAATCTACCTGTCCGGAGGATTCGAGGGAAAGGAATAAGAAAAGAAAAAAAGAAAATTCTACTTTGAAATTCAGCAGAGCGGCAAAATAATCGCGAGCAATCTTTTCGATTCTCCTGCTAGATGGCGCGGCAAAAATCGTGGACTTTCTGGTCGGAGAAAATCCGATTTCTGGTCCGAAAAAATCTGGAAACGGTGAAAATAAAAGTAAAAAAATAGGAAAGGAAGAGATTCGGAAAAAAATTGGAATGAAGAATCATTGCATGTATATATTAATAAAATTGGAGTCGAAGAGACACTTTAACTCTTGAGTTTAATAATAACAGTTTAAATAGAATTCATAATTTTCTGATATAATTTCAGGTATGCACACAGTTATAATTTTACAACTCGATGTTCTCTACAAGAGATCGAGGAAAAAAAAAAACAGGTATTTATCTTATCTGCTGAAATATTAATCGATCAGCGTTTATTCTGATTGTTTGATTTGAAAAATCGAGTGGCGATAAATTATCGAAAATAATGAACGGGCTGTAAAGAAAAAAAAAAAAAAAAAAAAAAAATGGGGAAATATTCGATCGAAAGAAACTGCTTCGTGGAATTCACCTTTCATACTCACCGATCTCGTTTATTTCCCCCCCTGTATCGCTTCATTCCCTCCCCATACTTGTCGGATACTTTCTTTACATCACAGTTTATTCACAGGTTTAATTATGAACGCATCGACGGGCTAATTGCTTCCCATTCGTACGCTTTCAGAAATTCCGCTTGAACGCGGGTGATTAAACGGGCCGCGGTGAATAATAAATTCTCGCGGCCAATTAATTACCATGGAGACAATACGCGGTATAATCAGACTGACCAAATCCCATTCGATCGGGATCAACAGGCGGATTAAAACAAAGATGAAAATGGAGATAGCAAACAATCGTAGCTCGCGTAATCTCGGCGAGATCCCTGTTGTTGATCAACCCTTGTTTTCCTGTTTCCGCAAAATTAATTCGTCTGACCATAGAACAGATACGAAAAATTATGCCTAATAATTATGATCTTTATTTATTTAGGATCGTTTGCACGAGCTTGGGTTAACAGAGTAATTAAAATAGATTCGTATTTTTGATTTTCGGATGTTTGGATTGGAAGAGGTATTTGAACAGGTATTTGAAATCTGAAGAATGATAATACGAACGTAGAAATAATATGTAAGAATATTTTAATATGGGATGGAGGTTGGATAGGTTGGATAGTTTATTGAAAAATTTGTTTGGAAAGAAAATAATCGATCGATCTTTGTGATATTTGAATGAATTGTGTCTTTATTTTTCATTCTATTTTTATTTGCGACGATAAATTTATACAGTTATCGTATAGTAATATGTTGATAATATATCTAACGTATCGACAATTATTTATAAGATATTGAATAATTGAACGTATATTAAAATATTAATACTTCGATCCATAATTACACAATATGAATAAATATGAACGAATACGAAATAAGTATTCGTAAATGGAATCGTTGCTCCATCATATTTCAATAATTAATTTGTAAATACGTATATCAGTAAAGAAAAAAACAAAAAAAAAAAAAAAAATTAAAAATTGCTGTTCTATTCTCACAGCACTTGGTTATTCGTCGAAATTAATTTAATATTTATTTTTTAATATTGATCGATATATGTAATATAATATATGCATGTTTCATTATATTTGCAATGCACTAGGCATGGAAACAGTTACTCAGCCATTCGTTTATCAGGCCAGGGATCCGGTCCCACGGGTGCCCGTCAAGAGAGAGTTTACTGTAATTAAATTCAAACAGGAAATTACTAGGGTGAAACTCGTAAAGCTGGATATACCCATTTAATAGCGGTACGAGTTGTCGATAATTTGTAAAACAACGGACATGTGGCACGCGACTGTCACGTTCGTTGGTCTTGACAGTCTAATAAACGGTAGAAGAAGCGTTTAATTACGATGCAATAATCCGTTATTAGACGCAACGACCCTCTCGCGTGCGGTGGATACGCGAACTCGACGAGGTTTGAACGAAACCCGACTAAGGTTGCACTCCGTACACCTGCACAACGTTATTCGTGGTCTTTACATCGCCTTCGGTTTGGCTCGTGTTTCTTCACGCTTCTGTGAATTTTTCAATCACGACCATGTGATTAATGGATGGATTGAGCGAGAAAATGAATTTTACGTCGTTATACTGCTTTATTTTTGCGTGGATATTTGCAAATTTCGCGTTTCGTTTCATTAAAACTTTGATTTTTTTATGTAAAAAAAGCGAGAAAAGATTCAGAAATTTTGTCATTAAAATCCACTCAGGAAACAGAGGAAGATGTACCATTGAAATTGCTTTTTGTTTTATCCCGATATCTCGATCCGTTTCCGAGATATAACGATTCAAAGTATCCATAGTTAATACATTACACACACACATAGATATTGTGGATAGGCCCTACTGACTTACTGACCTAAATATTTTTCCTGGAAATGCTATTTCTATGTTTTTATGGTTGGGATAGGTCAGTGAAGCAAGGTGCGAGCGAGAGGTCCGAATACGCGACAAGGATCGAGATAGTAAACGATTAAAAATTACGCTCTTCTTTACGCGACGATATCTCGGAAACCGGAAGTCGTATCGAGATGAACCAAAAATCATTTTAAAGGGGAAGGTTGCGCGCTTCTAACGAACTTTCATTCGTTGTCCGGAAGTCATTATCTTCGGAGTTATAACGGTTTAAAGTTTTCCAAATTTTAATAAAGCTTAGTCAGGTTTAAGGTAAATGAATAAAAATTACTTTTTCTTTACACGATGATATCTCGGGAACCGGAAGTCGTATTGGAATAAATGAAAAAGCATTTTAAAGGGTAAAGTTCCACGCTTCTAATGATCGTTCATTCGTTGACCGGAAGTCACTATCTTCGGAGTTATAGCGGTTCAAAGTTTTGCAAATTTTAATACGAAATCTTTTAAAATCTATATAATTTTATTCTTTGTATCCACGTTTTACGTATAAAATTCTCCCACGAAATGGACAAATGTAATTTTAAGAGGGGAAACTCTAATTTAGGATATAAAGGATTGTAGATTATCATCGTTAAAACTTGCATTTTATTTCAAAAATAAAATTTTCTGGAAAGTAGAAACTCTTGTTTAAGATCTTGAATGGTAAAAAATATCATCAACTATTTTCTCTCTCCTCTCTCTCTCTCTCTCTCTCTCTCGAACATACATCAAACTACACAATCCGAGTAAAACAGAACTCCTTCTCGTAGGTAGGCAAACGAAGCGGAAAGCGTTCCTTTGTCCACGAGTGAGTTCAAATGATTATCGCGCATGTCATATCCACGAAGGAAAACGAGAAACTCCGCGGTGTGATTGAAACCTTGAAAGGAAGGAGGGGTGTTCCTTTTCGCGCTAGCAAGAAGCGTGGAACGGAGGAGTTCGTAAGGTAGCGGCTTGAAAGAATGGACAATGCTCGCTCGCCCCCTTAACCATTTTTCCATAGAATAGCCATTTACGCGAGACAATGCGCGTGGTGTAATGGACTTGTCCTTCCCCTCTGTAAAGAAAGGGAAGAAGGGAAGGGGCAAGAAAACGGCTGGATCTATGCAAAGTGCGCCGGATACATTTTGCATCCGAAGAAAGCGATGCTTCCTCGAAGGGAACAAATCCCGCAGATTGCATCTGGCTTTCGTCAAAGCTTTATTTCGTTCCCGTGTCATCCTTTAAACACAATCGACGTAGAGGATTTTTAGAGGCAACCGACTACGAAATGTCTCGCACGTGCATGCCGTATCTTTATTTTATTTTACGTGAACTGTGTTTGCCCGTTAAAATTGCTTCTTTCGAGAGAATTTACGACACGTTTTCCGGGAAGGGGAGAGGAGGGGGGGGGGGATTTTAATCTCGGGAACGCGTGTGTGCGTATTCGGATGGATAATTTATTCAAATTGAAAAGTTTAGAGTGATTAGTAAAAGTGTTTGTACATCGTATTATAATAAATGCGTATCATTTAAATTGATCGCGTGTCTCGAACTTCGTATTATTTATTTATTTGTTTATTTATATGAGTATTTTTTATATGATATCAAAAAGAATTGGATGTGTATGAAAATAAAATGTGGAATTTGTTTACGCTTCGTTGGAAAATAAGGTATATGATGTACGAATATTTTTTTTTTTTTTTTTTATATATATCTGCTGTTTTCAATCTCGATAAGATAAACAATTTCAAATGGTTCCTGCACCACTGGTTATGATAAATTCATTTTAGGGGATGCTCTATCGGATAAATGAAAAATGGGATGATGGAAAAATATGTGATAGAATAAATAACGATTTATGAAATCTGTGCCACTAAAAAACAAATATTAATGATTGTTGAAATTTATAATCATGCGTGGTGAATTGATTATATTTATTGCTTCTACACGTTTCTTTTTCGAACAAATTCTCGTGTAACGAAGGAAATATTAATCAAAGTATGTAAAAAAAAATCTTTGTTATATGTTCAATTTAAACATTATGAATTGTTAATAATAAATTATTATTTTACATATTTTTACTAATTTTTGAAATAATTTAGAAAGACTTAAATTTTGAATTAATGTAATTAATACAATTATTTAATTTTTTAAAAATCTAGTAACTCTTAATCTCTTAATCTTTTCATCAAAATCAAAAATAAAAAAGAGTTTACTTCTCAAAACTATATCAAAAATCGATATTCCACATTTCTTGTATCTTACGTTTGCATCAACACTTTTACTTAATAATTAATTGATCAGAACGAAGATGGAACACGTTGAAAGCTAGTTGAAAACGATCGATGATCCAAAGACAGTTTCGAACGATAATGGGATTCTGAACACGATGACAACGTCAGACTGTTCTCAAGTTGCTCGAAAATTGACAAGGGTATTGGACGTTTATAATTCAAGATGGTGCTCCCGATCTCGACAAAGACAAAATGTAAAAGTTGGCGGTCGAGGAGAACTTTCTTTCTAAAATTTCTTCTTATGGAGTTTCGCGATGAAATATAAATTATAATGAAAAAGTTCAATCCCCCTTTAAAATGTCAAGATCATTATCCAAAAAGGGGAAAAAAAAAGAAAGGGAAAGATTTTTTTCACTGAAACACTCGTCCTTTAAAAACTGTATAAAGTATCAGTGATTAAAAACTTTTTACCTATCATTAAATTGTCACGGGTGTGCTCTGTTTCAACATTAATGTTACAACATCACGTGATTCGTGAAAACTTTTAGCACGGATTATTATCACCGAGTTGTGAACTTTCGTGCAGATATATAATTTTCGTATTCACGTTATACGATATAAATAAATTTGCCTTGCATAATTTTCCTGTTAATTCCATTTGCATGATACAAACAATGTTATGTTATAAACAAATATTTATAAATCGTGTTCGTGGGTAAAATTTTTAAGTTGTTATATTGGAAACTGAAGAAATTCAAGAAATGATTCATCCATAAAGAAAAAAGGGAAAGGTCCTTATACGATACTGGAGTAATATATTCCATCATGTGAACATCTTTCAAGATGTAGAAAGATCTTTTTTCAGCCGGTGACGATTTATCAGAAAAAAATTATTTTCACGTGATATCGTAATGCAAATTTTATGTTATAAGAAAATTTACCATAAATTGGGGTAACATTCGATATAGGTTTTTGGTTAAGTGGTTAAATAGATATAAAAATAAATTCAAATTCTGATTAATACAATTAATAACAAGGAATTTGAAGATTTGTTTCACTTTTTATTATAAGGAATATCACATTTTGGATATTTTGTATTTTTTCTTTATTTTGTATTATATTTCTCTAATTATATTAATTAGAAAGAGAAATTTTGCTCAATTTTTCTTTATTCATTTGGATAATCAATTTATTTTTAAACTAATCAATTTACAAAATAATTAATTATTATGATATAAGCTTTCGTGCAGTTAATTATATCTTAATTAAAAATAACATCGTAATTATGTTTCAATTAAAATCAATTCGTAACTGTCAACGTAATCTGTGCCAATGTTACGACGCATAAAACGCAATAAAATTATTGACATTTCGCGAATATAAATTCTACGTAACTCGATATTATATTTTAAATAACATGACATAATTCTACACATTGGTTATTGAATATTCAAACTTGTTTCATCCGTATAAAAATTTTTAATCTAATTATCACATGTCGATCGATACACGATTGTACATCAAACAAATTCCAACTATGGAAACGTTCAACGATATTAAATTAAACATATATTGGATTCGATATATACGCGTTTGAATTGAAGAGAAGGAGGCGCAATAAAGCGATACATTCGGAGAATATAGACCGTAATGTGGTTTGGACAAACCCTTGAGGTTACCTAATTAATTTCAAATTACGGTATCAAATCGAAGATGCGTCACAGTTAGGCCGTAAGATATATACAAGGTGTCCTCGAAATCATGATAACTACGGTTTACTATAATAACATTACGTGCAAAGATAAATCGAAAAAAAAGCTTAGATTTCAAGTGAGTAAATCATATTTGAAAATTCGATTACGAATTCAAATACAAGTGAAATTTATTATAAATTTCTTTAAATATGAACTCGATCGATAAATATTGTTATTCTATATATATATATGAAAATAAACAAAAAATATAGGGATTTGAGAGAATTAAAATTGAATAAAATTAACATAATTAAGAAATTATATAATCGCTGAATTTTTAAATTCAATTTTCTCCAAAAAATTAATTTTTAAAATGAAATTTATTCTTATATATATATTTTTTTTTTATTTCAGCATATAGAATTACCTTCTGTCGATAATTCATTCGTGTCTAATCAATTAATTAATCAATTATTTTCAAAATGTGAAATTTTTTTTTAAATTTGATTCACTTGAAAACGAGGCCTTAAATTAAAAAGTATTATTTCTTTTTTCTACTCATTTTTGCACATAGAATTATCATCGAATCGCTTGTATAATAATTTCGTGGATGGCCTGTATAATTATAGTAGCTGTACCATTTCCTATCCATAGATAAGATCTCTGAATTAATTACCACGACGGCGATCTTGGTGAAAATAAATTTTACCATTATCATCTTTCAACGATCTTCTTGAGAATCTTTTTGCATCGTGAAATTTCTTCCATTCTTTTAATATATTATCGTAAAAGTCGGAAAAACAGTGTCGTTAATCAAATATTTTCTATTCGCTAATTATCGATAATCAGTTAACATCGTAACATGATTAATTGTTACCCAATGAGCTACTCTCTTTCTCTTTCCCTCTCTCTCTCTCTCTCTCTCTCTATCTCAACTAATGCAAATCGCTGATTAATTCAACGTCGATAAAGCCACGCAGAAATGCTGCATTTAACTCGACCTCGAAACTGCGCAGATTGATATGTATACGGGATATAGCATAATAACGCGAGAACCGTTTCAAGTTGATTATACAATTAATAATACAATTTTCATATAAATACATGCTCTCGTTTATGAAATATAACGAATTATGAAAATTTTTCTATAAATTAAATCATTTGTTCAAGTGATTAAAAAATAATAATAATAATAATTCTCAATAAATTACTTTCAAAAAAAAAAGTATTTCTTCCAAGAAATACTTTTCATAGAAACAAATGATATTATAATATTTAGATTGAACATAGATTCCCTTGTAAGTTCAAATATTAGTACAAATATATTTTCACACTATTATTAAAACTCCTCTTCGTTCGGGAAGAAACTTTATTCGAAAAAATAAAATGAAAATAAAAAGTAAAATGAAGGGGAAATTATTCGAGTAAAAGCTTTTTTTTAAAAGCTCTCTTCGTTCAAAATTCTCAGATATAAAAAAGAAAACGATTGATCAAGCACATCGAGTTTCTTTACCGCCATTTTCCTACCATTCGTATAATATCACGTTGCATAATTCGTTCTAACGGATCATATAATTATTTCAGGAGGATCTCGTGGCTCGATTGACAAGGGAGAAGGCGGAACAGCTACGGACATTGTCCTCGCAGTTACTGCTCTTCGAGTCGAGGCTTTGTCGGAAGCAGAAGGAGATCGAGGCTAGTCTGGCGCAAAGGGAGTCCATTATTCTCAGACAACAGAGGGTGATTCGTCAACTGCAGAGCAGATTGGCGGAAAGAAGCACCGGTACAAGGGATTCGCCACCTTGCGACGCCCTCGATAGATTGGATAGCCTTGGAGATAGTGACAGTGCTGTCGTTCTCGAGGAGGCGGCGGATGACCTAGCACCGCCAAGGTGCGTACGATCTAATTGATTGGGCCAATTTTTAATAATAGACCAATTATTTAATGAAACATAATAATGCCACTTCTATGATTACAACAAAAAGCTTAGAATACAAAAATCAATGTTTCCGAATCTAGATATTTTAGAGTCAAAATTAAACTATCTATTTCTATTTGATTGATTTTTTCCTGCAAGAAGTAGATATTTTAAAAATTTGGATTTTGAAGTTTTTAGTATATAGAAACGGAGTGGATGGGTAATGAAAAATTATCCTAAATTAAATCTCTAAAATAGAAATTGAATTGTTATTGATCGAATAAAAATCGCCTAGAATTTCCTAAGCCTCAAGAGAACTAAAAAATATTCCGTGGAATTTTAACATTTCCAACCCTTCGAACCGCGAAATATCTGAGAACATATCTGTGAATCAATGGTGAAGATTGAAAAGTTAGGAGAAGTTAAAAAACTTTCTGAATCCTCGAACCTGAAATTCAAGGTTTTGCTCCATCCGAAAATACTTGAAAACCACGTTTCCCCCCTCCCTCCCTCCCTCCCTCCCCCTAAGATTGAAAAGTTGGGTCGAAAATTATCGGAAGTTACTCGCAGGTTCCGCTCGAACATCACCGACGTTACGGTGATTCGATCGGTCTCAGACGCTGTCGAGCCATCGAGCAAATACTCGTCGATGCGACGATGCAACGGGTTCCTTAGGAGACCGGAAATTTTAGAGACCGTTTACTCGGTTGAAGAAGATGGCGACAGCGAGAACAATCAGGACCCGTCCGAGTCAACCGAAAATTCCGAGTGCGAGGAGAGACGGGCAAAAAATTTGGGAAACGGGAAGGGCAGACTTCAGGATTTGTATGGCAGTTTTGAGAGACTTGCTCAAGAGGCGGATTCTCCGCCGAGCGAAAGGCCGAGGGACGAAAGTCAGCAGGCGCAGGTAAGGAGGCTCTTTTTAGCCCGAGATGAACAGGCTACAATCTTTTCTACCTAACCATCCTTCTTTAAACCTTCCCCTCGTGTTGGTTTATTTGCGTACGAGTAATAAGCGTCACAGTTCTCAACTTCATTTCTTCAGAATCTCACTTGAGTTGAGACTCCGTAAACGTAAATCTCGGAGATTAATGTCGGCACGATATTATTTTGCGTGGAATTTTTTATTTTATTGGATGTTTAGAGTTTTCTTGTACGTATGCAAAATGCGTCTATGTATTGTAGATGTGTATATATATATATATATATATATATATGATATAGGATATATAGATTATATTATGTATGTAATTTTGAATGGAAGAAGATTTGAAAATAGATGGAAAGAAAATTATATTGTATTGTATTTTATATTGTAAGTATTGTTTTTATATATTCATTTTAATAATTTTATAATGTAAAAGTTTGAGGGAAAATATCACAATTGATGATAATAAAAATAATAATTAAAATTATTTAATTAGAAAAGATATTACAACTTACACTGCTTCAATAAAAGTAATTTTATATAAACATCCTTTTTAATAAAAGAAATACAACTTTGAATTTTTTTCATTCTATCCTGCAACAATGCAAATTATTAATTTATTGGAAAATATATATATAACGTATCAAATACATATTTATCAAATATACCTCCAATCATTTTATTATTTCTATTAACTGCTCATTTTTGATTAATGATCTACTTTATACGTGACAAAACTGATCAATTCTGCTAATAAAGAAAGAATTCTCTCGAGAATTGAAATTGATCAGTTTGTGTTTCAAATGGTTCACGCGTGAAACAGCAGACAAAACACCAGAGGATAGTTTTCAACCCTTGAATCTCGTTTTTCTTTCAGGTCACGTACAACAGGGTAATGAGCAATCACAGATCAGTCACAAAGCCAAAAGACGTAAAGTACAAGAGGATAAACAAGGCGAAATCGAAAAGCTTGGAAGAATTGAGGGGACGGTTGAGAAATTGGGTGGAAAAAGGGAACAAAATCGCTATATCGCTGGATCAATCTTACGCCTGAATCTTTTAACTCCCTTTGAAAGTATATTTTAAAAAAATTTTTTAAAAACGGCGATCCAATTGGTCGATTACGTTCTTCACTGTCATTCGTGCGCAAATGAAACAACCAATCAATCGCCGTTCTATATTTACATTGAAATTCTCATCGCTCCATGTGATATTTACTGTAGTGTTTCGAAAATTAAATTAGAAATCTTAACGCTGTTGCGCGTCGACAATTTTAACACTTGTGATATATATATAAATGATTTTATGATAATGAAACACAAAGTTATCTAGTTGATAATTATCATCGCGATTATGAAATGATAAGAAGATTCGCAGAATGGAGAAGGAAATGGGACAAGATAATCGAGAATATTTGCTATTTCGTACGTAAATTTGAGAAAAATCTTGCCGAGATTGCTCTCTCTTTCTTTCTCTTTTCTCTCTCTTTCTCTTTCTCTCTCTCTCTTCTTCGTGTCTTCCCTTTCGCATAAATTTTAAATTATATTTTCACGAACTCGCGTTGCCAAATTGTATGGCGTACAATATCCAATCTTTATACGGTTGAATCTCGGTAATTCGAATTTCAACATGGAGGTAAAATCTTTCAATTGTAAAGATTTTATTTTATCCAAGTTTTCGAGTAAAAAAACATTCGACAAATAAAGATTGGACAAAAAACAAAACAGTATCGAATGATCGATTATTGAAAAGTTGTGACAACGCAATCACGAGTTGTAGAGAGAAATTTAATAATAAAAGTTTCGCTTTTACAAATAAATTTCTACTTGCAGGGGCTGCACTTTTCTGAATTCGAGTTATACAGAGATAAAATAATCATAACCTTCAATTCATATGAAATTTATATTTCTACTTACAAAAGACTTTCACAGACTAGTTTCACAGAGGAGAGAATGAAATTATAGTCTCATGGATATCTTTGAGCCGTAGAGATTCGAATTATCAAGGTTCGATTGTACGATAAAATACAAGATTTTTTTCCACAACACCGTAATTTACGAATTATTCTTCCGACAAGAAACGTCGATAAATGTGCATCTGTATAACCGAGTGAACTTTCTCATTGTACTATTTTTTCTTCCCGATAAGAGGTCGCGACACGCATTCGCCAATCCACGTCGATGACACAGATTTCTATCTTTAAATAGATCCCTTTCGTCAATTACGACCATTGTGCTATCGATTATCGACCGATGTAATGTTTAATCGAAATCGAGAAAATGTCGGACGTTCTTTCAAAGGGAAGACCTTGTGTGCGTGCATATTTTATCGAATTGGCCTCAGCTCAATTTTTTACACGTTCTATAAAAATTGATTAAGTATCATTCTTCGTACTATCGCTCTTTTATAATACAATATTGCTTGTCTTGTCATTATTCCCTATTTATATATATACACACATCGCTTATACGCAGAAACGATAAACAGAAAACATCACACAATGCTTTCGATGCATCAAATGCAAAACGATATTCTCGAACATCTTACGACAGACGATATTTGTTATGATGTTCAACGAACATTCTATCACTTTATTCAGTATCGATGAATGTGCCACTCTAACCTATTTTTTCTATTAAGATTTTGTTGCGCGAATTCGCTCGCTGATTCTATCACCAGGTTAATTAGAATAATCGATATTTTATATCATAATGAAGATAACAGAGACGATATCATAACAGAGATGTTGTAATTCGAGTTAGAAAATTGTTACTGAAAAGTGCTGAACGCGTGAAAGAATCATGGTACTCAAAGATATATCGATCAATATTTTTAACTCGATGACTATGTTATTCTATTACTGCAATTGTTTTGATTAGCCTGGTGCATGGATTTCTTTAGATAATCTTAAAGATTATCTAATCTAATCGACAGAAGATAATCAATATCTATATAAATATGTATACGTGATGCATTTGCAAAGGTCTAATGCAGCACGGGTTATTTTTCGAGATTTACGAATAATCTTTTCAGCTATTAGAAATATATTCGTGAAACGAGTTATTCCGTAGCATAATATTTTTCGATCGTTCTTTATACTGTGAACCAGCGACAAACTCGACACTTTATTTATTTATCGATCATGTATGCGGCGGTCGTCTAACCTTTCTATACCTTATTCTATCGAAGTAAGAGAAACTATTCTTGCGGGTACCTGTGTAATATTAAAAAAAAAAAAAAAAAAAAAAAAAAAAAAAAAAAAAAAAAAAAAAAAAAAAAATACATAAAAAACGTTTTCTATTTTCGCGTTCTGTTCGAGATCAATTTATATATATTATATCTGACGTTCTCGAATGGAAGGAATAAAGAATATAAGAAAACTATCGACAATCCCTAATTTTGAGAAAAAAAAAGAAAATATATTCTATTAGAAAAGAATATACAGAGACAGTTCTTTTGTAAATAAAATGAGATAAAATATATATATTATATTATCATATGTAATATCTTAACGTTAAGTTAAGGCTCTTCGAAATTCTGCAAGATTTATTATGTAGATAGCCATGTTAACAAGAATAATAAATTTTAACGATAGAGAATCAAGTTTTATGTTCCTGCAAGCTGCATAACAGCTACCGCGAGATCTCGTGCATAATATATTTGCGCGCTTATAAATATATATACCATATAAATATATAAATATATAAAAATATACTTAAGTCTATTACTAATAAAGAAATCAGAATGAGAAATCAGAATGATGTTAACAGATTGGCGTTAAATTTATTGGTCATATTGGTTAACAAATGTTCCAATATACATGTAAACAATTATGGACACAAAATGATTAGAAATGGTATATAAAGAAAATTGACTGTCATCTTAATTTATGTAAACGATGTAACGTATATACCATCGCTTTTTTAGAAAATTAGTGAATTGCTACCAATATTAATAATTATCGTATTATTTTAATTAATTATTAAATCTTAAATAAATTATAATGTCAATTTAATGTGTAAATCATTTTCCTTTTTGTATTTTAAACAAGATTATATATTCTATTATTCTATATTATATAAATTTTATAGGAAATTTAAGAATTAAAAGAAATTTAAAAATTTATTTAATTATTAATATTAAAAATTATCAATTATTTATAGAATTAATAAATTTATAAATTAATAATATTAAAAAATATAATAGAATAATTAAAACTAAAACATTGATTTGAAATTTATTTATAGTTATTTTTTATCATACGAGTTATCAATATATAACATTTTTATCTACCGCGATATTTATATAATGAAAAGCTTCATTTTTATGCCGTTAGAGTCGCATCGACCGGATGTCGAAATGCACATTCGACATTTTCAATACACGTGAATGTCAAGAATAAACAAATAAAAAACAATAAAGTATTTTTTTCAAATTTATTCAACTAATTTCATTTTTTAATGATGAAATTTAAAAAAAAAAAAAAAAAACAATGAAAATTGGGGAAATTAAGAAATTACAATTATTTTGAAAAAAAATTTCTTTTATCAAAATAAAAAATAAATAGAAGACAAGTAACTTTAAAAATTTTTTTAATTTAATAAGACTTTTTTCATAACTGATTTTATCACTTTAAAAAAATAAACTGAATATAATTTTTATAATGATACTAAATTCTACGAGTACAGAATGCTTTGATTTTTTTTTATGATTAATTTATGATTTTATATTTTTTTCATATTTTTTCTTTTTTTAATTCCATGATGAATTGAAAGTAAAGTTTAATTTATTCTGAATATTTTTTATTTCAGTATTGGCGCCTTTTAAATAATTCTAACCAATCAAATATCTATTTTTAGGATAGATAAACCGCCTTCAAAACAAAACAATATGGCTGACAGTACGCACAACGGAAAGTGAACTGGGATGCATTAATAAAATTTGATAGTGATAAAATTGCCATTGATTTTCGTTATTGACATGATCATTGTACTATTTCACGTTCTTTATTTTTTTAGCAAGTTTGTATATCAAAATTACGGAAATAAAAAGCAAAAAACCATAAACGATGATACGATTAACACGGATATACAATTCAAGATTTCTGAAAGAGATTATAAAATGATAGATCCATCTGCACCTCAGGAATTTGAAGAAAAATCTATTAAATTTTTTCCACCAGCATATTTACAAAGATACATTGCTGTAGCTGATGTAATTGATAAATATCATGGGAAATTACGCAAGGTATAATGCTTTTTTATTTTATATTATAAATGCATAGATTTTTTTTATAAAATATATATTCGGTTTATATTAGTTAATGATTATTAAATAAATTTACTCTTTTTATTAATAAATTTTATTATTAAATTATTTTTTATCAAATTAATTTTGTCTTCTAATGATAAAATAATTGTATTCTTTCTTTTTGTTTATAGATTGTTGATTTTGGATGTGCAGAACTTGATTTTTTGGTTTACCTAAAAAATAGAGCTGGTATAGAAGAAATATTATGTGTGGATGTTGATAGATCACTTTTAGAAGCTTCTAAAAGTAAAGGTGCTCCCTTAGTATCTGAATATTTGCATACAAGGACTACACCTCTTGTAGTTGAAATATGTGAGGGTAGTGTTATTCACAATGACAAGAAATTAGAAAATACTGATGCTGTGATCTGCATAGAATTGTGGGTTATTATTAAACATAGTTAATTATTTTTAAGTATAATGTTTTTAATAGAGAAGTCTCATTATTTTCATGATGATAATAAATATTTTGATACTTCAGGATTGAACATTTACATTCAGATATCTTGTTGGACGTACCTTATAATATTTTTGGATATATTAAACCAAAATTGGCAGTAATAACAACGCCAAATGCAGATTTTAATGTACTATTTCCAAATTTTTCTGGGTTCAGACATCCTGATCATAAATTCGAATGGACTAGAGAACAATTTCAAAATTGGTAAAAATATATAATTTTCTTTTTAATTGAAATTAATTGTAATCTAGTTTTATTATATAATATATAATATACAATATGATATATTAATATATATTTACATTAATAGGGCTGATAATATTGTTTTAAGATATCCTGACTATTCTGTAACTTTTGATGGAATTTGTAAAGGTCCAGAAGGTTCAGAACATCTAGGATGTTGTACTCAAATGGCTGTTTTTCATCGTATTAGTGAAAAAGAATTTTGTAATATTGGTATTGAAAATTTATTTAAAACTATAGTTAAATATGAATATCCATTTCGAATAGATAATCGTTCAGATGAGGAAAAAATTCTTGATGAAGCTGCATATTATATTAGATATCTATCTTATCAAAATGAAGATATGGAGGAAGAAGTTCCATTAAATGTATTAATAAATATGTTAAAGTCATTTCATATTTCTACAAATACATTGCAAACAATTTTAGAAGATGGTGGTTGGACAATTGAAAATCATGAATCTGGACCAGTTGTACTAGTACCACCAATTTCAACATTTTCTGATGATAGTGCAGTATTAAGCGAAATAGCGCAATTTAATGACCATTCTGATCTTTATTCAGATGAAGACTGGCCTAGAGAAGCTGGACCACCTATAAATTGTAATAGATTTTTGAGACAAGAATCTTCAGATATATGGAGCAATGAAAATTGGAATGAGGAAAGTATTGTTATTCCACAAAATAATTCTATTCCTAATAACAATACCTATCTCTTTGATGAAGAAAATGTTTTATTAAATAACGAATCTGAAACGACAAGAAATACCGAAATTTTTGAAAGAGAAAATGAAATTAGCGATGAAGAAAATTTAAATGCAATATCTAACATAGATAATTTTAACAACTCGTTTTATAATGCCAATCCACGTTTAAATGAATTACGTTTAAATGAATCAACAGAATTACCTAATTCTTTAACAAGTTCTTTAACAAAATTTGAAGATGTGAAAGAAGACTCATTTTTTTATATAGTATCAGATGCACAGAATGATCCCACGTCAAGTACAGCACAAAAACTCAATCGTACATTAGATATTCCGGTATATATGTCCGTTTCGCGAGCATCTACTTCACCCGAACCATATCTTTTACACGCTATCAAAATGGATTTAAAAAACGATAGTATGTATAATCAAAGTATGAGTAATCATTGGATGTTAAATAATTCTTTTGAACAGGTAAATATGTCAATAGATGCACAAGACACAAATAATATCAAACACAACAAATCATTAGAATATAATTGTGATGATCATTTGCATAATAAATATTTAAATACATCATATAAAGAAAATGAAGATTCTGATATTGAATACAATATAGATAATAACACAAATACAAGTACAAATTATTTTAACCAAAGTGAAGTGCAAAATGATAGATACAATAGTAAGATCTCAAAAAGTAATTCTAAACTAGAAGATGAATCAAACAATGTAGTTGTTACTAGTAATGCTTTAATAGAAAATCGACCACAATTTACAAGTTCACCAAAAATTGAGATTAAAATGAATAACATGAAAAAAAAGCAAAGATCTCTTGATTATGATGAACAAAAAAATGATTCTAGTTCAAATATTACACAGAAATCTCAATTAACTAATGATAGTAGTAATAATTTATCAGAGAATAATAAAATACTTTCACAAAGTAATAAAAATATAAATATATTTACTATGTCAGATAGTTATTCAAATGCATTAAAAGAAAACTATAATAAAGATACATCTCTTATGCATCAAATTGATGAAAAAATAAAAAATAAAAACCAGTTAACAAATAATTCTAATCAAAATATATTTATTGATAGTGATGCATTGACAATAGCTTCTACATTAAATAACGATATACAAATAACAGAAGAATTACTTGAAACAAATTTTATGAGTAATAACAATAGTAAAAAAAGGACATCTTTATCATTAAATTCTATAGCACTTGATCAAAATAAGTGGCCAGATTCTTGTATTACAGAAAATATAGTAAAAGAACAAAAAGAGCTTCCTATACTAAATACAAATAACATACAATCAATAAATTGTGATACAAAGTTTTCATTAAAAAATCAATTAATGATTAAATCTGAGTCGCAAATAGATATTTATAACAATGATGGAAGGACTGAATTACATAATGATCATGACTTAAAAAATATTAAAAATGTAAATAATACTGAAGTATCTTCTAATCATGCCAAAGATATTACTAGTTTAGAAAATATTCCTTTAGTATCTACTCTTCATATTGAAGATGAAAGAAGCATTCAATTTATATCAGTATTAAAAAGTGAAGAACAATCTGAATGTAATGTAAAAAATCTCGAATCAAAATATAAGAATATAAATATCGTGGAAGTAATAGAAAACATTGAATTAAAATCTTCTTCTCCAGAAATTGTAGAAACACCTCCAAAAAGTTGGTCTCCTGAAATAATAGATTCCGGATATCCAAATTCCGCTTCTGCTCAAGATATGACACCAGAATATGATTTACCAAGTATTGCGCAAGATCATATATCCGAATCCGAATCGGCAAGTATAGCAGAAGCACCAGAAGTCGGAATGCTTGAAGTGATTGAAGTTGAAAATGGTGATCTTGCAAATAATAATAGAGATGATGAAGGCAATAATATGATAGCTGCAGAATTAAATGATTTGGAAGATTTGCAACCCTTAATTGAAGTACTTGAAAATGATATTGAAAACGAGAATGATATTTATGCTGTAGAGAATGATTTTCCTATATGGTTATTAAGAATACTTAATATGGCTAATCCAATTGATGTTGAAATACACATGAGAGATAGAGAATTAAGATTTGCAAACAGAATAGCAGGTAATTATTTGTTTGTATTCATATTTTTGTATTATATTTCCAATATAAATAAAAATGAATTGATATGTAATGACTTTTATGTAAATAGATGATGATGCAAGATACATAAATATAGAACGCGATGAAGGTTTTGACAGTACTTCAGAAGAAAATAGTGATT